TAATTAACTATCCACCCTGTTCATTAGAGTCCTCCAAGACCTTTTGTTAATACAAACCTTGATCTGGATGACCTCTCATTTTCCGTTCCTGCCATTTGTATTGCCCTAGATTGCTCCAGTGGCAGAGCAGCCAAGGCACACGCAGATGTAAAAAGAGCTGAGGAACACATTGGCATCTGTGTTCCTTATGTCAAAAGCAACTGAATGTTTAAACCCAAGTGTTTCAGCCTTGCTTCTTCTGCGTATGCCTAGTCCCCAGTGCTAATAGGAGCTGTGTGTGCAGAAATGTTTCAGAGTGAGATAAGTCTGCATGGACGGTGCTTCAGGAAGCAGCAAACACTTTCCCTTTCTGAATCAACAACAGATCCTCCGTATCAGTTATTGAGGGGAGCTAGCTGTGAGCTTATATCCCCCCAAAAGTTACAGATTGTGATGACTTGGTACAAATCAGGGTGCAGGGCCAGGTGCAGCTCTGACTGGAAAGGGCTGACAGTAGAGGGGAAGAAGGAAGGTAGGCTGCCCTGGAAAGGCTAGGGCATCCCTACTTGCGCCTGGTGACGTTCATAGGAAGGGAAGGGTTAGGTTTCCAGTAAATCTAAACTGGCTTATCAGCGCAACATGTCTTGCTGAATGTTTAAAAGAGGGTGGATTTATCAGCAGTGGAGGATTTTCCTATTCTGATGTAAATGTTGTTATTCCATGTCTCATCAATAATCAAAAATTAATGTGGTTCTGACTCATTGTACGTAGGACAAAGATACTTGGAATGTGTCACTTCTACAGCGAGCCTAAAGATCCTATGAAGTCTAATAAATTATTCTGTTGCATGTATTTTCAGTTGTGTTCCGTTTCTGTTTCAATTGCTAAGGACTAAAAACAAGGTATTTAAAAGCCTAGATTTATGTTTACTTTTGTAATAAGCCATTTCAAATGGTTTTTTTTTTTTTTCACTCTGATCTTTGGGATGCACCCTTTCAGTTTTTCTCCGTGGAAAGCCAAGAAAATGTGGCTAGGAACTCGTGACTGTGCAGCTGTCATAGGAAAAAATAATGTCATTCCCTGGCCTGAACTAATCTTCACAGAGATTTGATGTTACATAGTGACTGAGTGCACTGATTACTAAAACATTACTTATTTCACAGTGCTGGAGGATTCTGTGTGTCTCTCTGGTTTCAGCCTGGACTGACCCAAAATACCAGAACAAAACTGGTGCATACACATCTACAAACAGTTTCTGTTTCAATGCATTCACATTTCCTGGGAGGAAAATATTTCAAGAAAGTGTTTAACCAGCTCAAACAATGATAGGTCAGAATTTATTTCAGAATGATAACTTTATCGTTTTAAGAATAATCGTAAAGTCCAAATCTTACATGTTTTAAACAGACAAAACACCTTTGACCTCAGGAAAGTTGAGTTCAAATTGATAGCAGTATCAGCACAGTCAGAACCAGGTGAATTATCAATGAATCACCAGTAATTCATAGAAATCCTTCAGTGAAACATCAAAACCAGCCTAATCCTATAGACTCTATTCATGATGATATTCCCTTTAAAACTGGTTTTCTTTGTAGAAGTAAGAGCGGCCAGGATATAAAAGATCATCTTGAAACATCACTATTTCAGAAAGTGCAAAAATAAGTGTGAAATCTCATCTCCATCTTATTCGATGGCTTTCCTGTTATTATACCTTATACTGTATTTTAAAGACCTCCAGAAATTTGATATATGTAGAAAGAAATCTTGTGTAGAAAAATAAGTTTTTTTTCAAAAACAGGGCAGGCACCACGCAATTTTTTGCAGCATTTCACTGCACAGAGCCATATTTAATGTGTCTGAGCTTACCTGCTATAGTAGGTGACTAGTATAACTGTAGTATACCTATGGTGATTATTTTTAAATTTTACTTAATTAGTAGAAACTTCAGTTATTTTTGAGAGACTATCACTATGCATAAATTGTTTTTTCAAAAAAGTTGTTAGGAAAGATAACTATTTTTCTCAAGGAATGAGAAAAGATATTTCACATTGTTTCCCCCAGAAAAATCTTATATTCTTCCTCCTACCCCCGAAAAAAAGATAAAACATGCTTTTGCTCTTTTTCTCCCTCAGACTATGTATCTCTATGAATTTTCATTGGAGTACGTGTATATGCATGTCTGGGGTGGTGAGAGGGAGAGAGAAATAGAATTTCTGCCTGACCGTAGACTGCAAGAGATTTTCAAATACAAGCTTTGAGCATACAATGACTTTTTCATCTTGGTATAACAGAGCAAGTGTAGAAAATAGCACTCGTTAATGGTAGTGCACTGAATACCAAAATGCGTAGCACTAATAGGAATCAGAACATTAAACTACCGAAAAATTAACACTTTTCAACTTCTGTTAGCAATTTTGTGGTATTAATTTAACTCGAATGAGGCTGTAAAATAGTCCTTCCGTACTCATTAAATGCTTGCCGTTCTTGCCGGTTGTCCATCAGAGGCCGTTCAGGGGCTCCGCAGTATAGCAGAGGACATGCTCCTGCTGGGGTGAGTCAGCTCCAGCGCAGAGCACTTCCCATAGGGGATGAAAGACGCCTGTGACAATTTCAGGGCACTTTCTATGCAGGAGGTGTTTCTTATGCCTCTGTACACGCAGCATGTTTTCAGGGAAACTAGAAACTTAATCGTCAAATGAAATGTGAAGGGATTTTGACAAGGAAAAGATTTTATTGGCAGCAAGAAAATGTTTTGTGCTTTTCCGTCTTCCCCTCCTGTCTCTCTTACCCCTGCCCCAAAGAAGTAATTTCTTAAGAGAGTCAGATGCCAAACGGACTGGATGCCTGCCCTGAACCCCTGTAAATTCAGAGACATCATTTAACAATGCGTAAACCAGATTTAACAATTCACGCTATAAAAGCGGTAGGTAAATGACTAAAATGTACATTCGTTCTTTTTTCCAGTTGGCTTATTGTGCTTTTTATTCTTGGCCTACAGAGAATTTTCTACAAGGAAATGTACCACATGGTAGCCCACCAGTAAGAATTATTGGTACTATATGCAGAACTTTTTCAATTTTGAACATAATCCCTTCTAAAATTGAGCAATAACTCTGTCCGTAGAATTAAGTTGAAGTTTGCTGAAGGAGAATGAACAAAAAAATGCTAAACAATTACAGTCATTTTTCCATGTGTCCTTTTTCCAAACAAAAAATACAATCGGCATTTTATTTAGGTGAATTTTAGCAAGGGGATCTCATTTTGCTCTTGTGATGTGTGAATGCAATATAGGATTTACAAAATTGAAAATGAAGATACTGAAGAAGATTCTAAAAACACTGTCAATGTGATGTAGTTATAACAAGCTGGCATGTTTTAGGATGGAATAGTATGTTTTCAAATTGCTCTGTGAAAGAAAAAGCAAATTAAATTCACAATGGTTTTCGCGTACAGCCATTAATCATAAGCTAGTAAGGCATCATTACCTGACATAATATTAATAATACCCTTAGTTTAGGTAAATTAATGCTTGAGTTGACATACGTCATATTTACAGGTTTATTGGCTTCCAGAGTTTTAGTCTCTTACAGACTTAAAAACATGCAAATTATTTATTGGGAAGAAATTGCAGATATTTAATTTATTTGCAATGCTTTCTTACTGGCACCACACTAGTCCTCGTCCTGTAGGAATAACAAATTAATTGGTTGACAAGGAACAGCTTTCTCCTGGACGTGGAAATGCGTTCAGCTGCCAAAAAAAATACAACTTTTATCCTCTTCTTGATGAGCTGCTTAATATGCTCCTTCAAGTACTTTTCTCCTTCTTTTAGTTAACCTACAAATTTTTATTTTATCATTACAAAATCCATAACATTATGATGGCATTCCAGAATATCTAAATTAAGTTTATAGTCCCATACCAATATGTATGTACCATTTCACAGCATATTACAGGGATTCAGATTTCCTTAAGCTACGGAGAAGCTGAGTTCTGCTCCAAACTCTATTGCTGCAACTCAGCTGACCTCACTGTTGTACTGAAAACAGAATTTATTCCAATAAAAATGCCATAAATATAGGTTGACGCTTGTGAAGTGAACAGTCTTTAAAAAGGTTCCAATGTGAAAGAAAAGAAAGCCAGACAAACAAGGCGAGATTTTTAGATGTTTTCTTTCTCCTAGTTATCCAAGGAAAGTTACACCTAGTCTGAACATTCATTCGTCTTAGAAACAATTGCATGCAATTGAATATATTTACAATAGTATGCACCTTAACCTACTTCAGGAGATAAATGGATTTCCTAACTGCTGCTTCCGCATCATCACAATCACTTTACCTGTCACAGAATCACAGAACGGTTGAGGTTGGAAGGGACCTCTGGAGATCATCTAGTCCAAGCCCCCTGCTCAAGCAGGGTCACCTAGAGCACATTACCAGGGCTATGTCCAGACGGCTTTTGAATATCTCCAGGGAAGGAGACTTCACAATCTCTCTGGGCAACCTGTGCCAGTGCTCAGTTACCCTCACAGTAAAGAAGTTTTACCTCATATATGTTGTTATATTATTGCTATATGTTGTTACTGTGGAGTAGAATGAGAATATATGAGAACATAGCTATAAAAACACTCAGCCTTTAGAATAAGAACTAATTTTATGGATGTGGATACATAACACCTGTGGTAGGTCTGTAAATCACCTGTGGTCTGATCCTCTGTATCCAAAGTCACTGAGTATTTTGCTTTGATATTGGTTATGTAGGATTCAGGCCTTCAGTCTTTCATATTAAGTAGCTGATTTCAGCAGATATTTAATGTTGCTGAGGTTAGAGACTGCTGAGGTAGACCTGGCCCTTCACCAGGAAGCTCTGAGGCCTGTTTTTCCTGGGTGGACGTGCAACCATTCTTTAGAGTGGCTGCTCAACACAGGCTGCTGGACACACCCAGTTGTCAAATGCTTCTTGGTGCTTGGATGCTGGTTATCATCGGTAATAACAGATATTTTTCTTATTTGCCTTTCTAGGAGTTTGTCATGATTGTTGTCTTTGGTTTGGAATTTATTATTCGTATCTGGTCTGCTGGATGCTGTTGTCGATACCGAGGATGGCAAGGAAGACTGCGCTTTGCAAGGAAACCATTCTGTGTAATAGGTGAGTGTCCCAGCTCTAGTTTATTTCAAGGTAAAAATAAAAGCCCCCACCTTGCTGTACATGTTGCTTCTAAATGAAAAATAATGGGAGCAGATTCTGTTCACAGTTACCCTGGTGTAAATCCAGAATAGTTGTGTTGTCAACTGTCATCTGCCCGAGGCGTCTCTAGATACAAATTCACAAAGGCCCTGAATACCAGTCAGTTAGTTTGTTATTTGCATATTCCCCAAAGGAGGTTTACATACAATATACAGCTGACATGTATATTGCAAGAATGAGAGGCTGAGAGCTGATCTCCTTGAAAATCACAGTCTCCTTGAGAAACACGGGAGCTGTGTGCATTTAATGGCCATGAGTATTAGACAACTTGTGTATACATATGTACATACCACATCTATATGTGCATGCATTACGTGTTCTCCTTATTTAACCTTCTGTGGTCTTGGATAAGATGTGTGTACCCTTCATTAAATTTGAAAACCTACCTAGAAGTATATATCATACTATCATCTGACAACATTACTTCTTCTTCTTGTCTCTGCATGACAGTCCAGGTATCAGCTCTGCCAGTGACTCTGGCATAGCCTATAACATATTGCTTCTACAACCATTACAAGAATCTCTTCCTCCCCTTCTTTGCTCTAGAAATTCTCTCCGAGAGTGGATAAACAGGCCCACAATCACTCAAATCCCTATTTTCGAAAGGAATCTGTAAGAAATCAATTTCCCAGTAAAGACAGATATCAACGATGGCTAGCCAAATTCATATGATAATTTATTATTTTTCTAATGGTGTGAGGCAAATGCTTCATAGACGACACCTGTTGAACTTCAGGATCTCGACTTCCCACCTTCTATCTCAACCTCCTTCCTCTCTCCACCCTTTAATTTCATCTGCTTGTATCTTAAATTAAATTATAAAATGGTTAGGGCAGGAGACTCATTTCCTACAGCAGGTAGCACAACAGAGTTACACGCTCATAGCAGTGTATCATAGCAGAGCAGTAGATGGGAAATCTGTAAGTATCTTACCCAGACCCAGCCAGGCCTGCGGTCACATACTTGCCCCAACATTCCCGCACCTAGTTAAAAAATAAGTGGAAAGAAGATTCAAAAATCTTCCCAGCCTTTACCAGGCCACGTGTCAAGAGAAAGCTAGAAATTCAGACATTCAGTTTCCCTGGCATCAACACACATGGCTACCCTTCTTAACCAAACTTGCAATTATTTCAAGATTTTGTGGTGCACGTGAAGCTTTCCAGTAATTGTGTTTTTTTCAGCACATAATCCTAAGAAAGGAGCAGACCATTAATTTAATAAAATTAACCTACACTGAACATTAGAACTTACTGGAAACATAGGAAAGATTTAAGCATTTGAACTTATTAGGAACATTTGAAACTCCAGACTGTTTTGCTGTTCTCCTGAAAAGCTTTTGTATGGAAACACTAACAGTTTGTTCAATTCAGCTTTTATTTCTCCTCCATTTCCTGTCTCCATTCTACTGGCAAGTTTTCTGACAGTGATTTACTTCACTCTTAGGTGTTAATTCCCAGCAAAAATGAATGAAGGGGTTCTTTCTCATTCAAAACTCTGTATGTTATCTCAGGGCTACTGACGTACATTTTTCCCCTTTCCTTTAAACAGCTACCCTCCTACTATTTGTGTAAGAGTTCAGGCAGATTTCCTGGCACAAGCCCCAGCAAGTGTTGGGGTTTACTTGACTCGATTATGGTTTTTCCTCCTTGCTCTGGAGTCCGTCTGCTCTCCTTGATGCTCCTGTGTTTATGTAAGCCATCTCCAGTCTTAAAACCGTCTTCTCTCTACTGCCCCCCTTGCAACTCTGGCATTTGCTAGCAGAACAAACTCGCAGCCAACAGGCCTTCGCTCGTGGACATCTTCCCGGGGAACTTTGTTCTGCAATACGCTATAAAGCCCCTAGCGCAACTTCTGGAAAAAAAACCCACTAGCTTGAATTTCTCACCATTAATGGCATTTCTTGCCATTTCTTGCCATTACTTCATGTCTCTTTTCTTTTACTGATAGGTTTTTGTCCATTTCTGGACTGTAGCGTCTCTGACGGGAGCTACAGATATTTAGTGTCTCTCCAGATTTGATCTTTGAAGGAAGAGCCTTTAGCAAGTCATCTTGCAGCTCTTGCTACGTAGGCTAAATAACTGTTTGACACCCAGACTTTGCAATTGTTGCAGAGTGTGCCCTAGCAGCAAAGCAGGCCAGCAGTATCCTCGGCTGTATTAACCAGCCAGTCGATTGAGGGCATTATCTCCTCCTACTCGGCAATCATTGGACCATACCTAGGATGCTGCAGCCCATTTTAGGCCTCCCAGTGTAGGAAGAACATCAGTAAACTGGAGTGAGTTCGGGGGAGAGCCACCAAGATGGTCTGGGCTGGAGCACTTGCCCGGTAAGGAGAGGCTGATGGAGCTGGACTTGTTCAGCCTGGAGAAAAGGCAGCTTTGGGGGGATGCGGTGGACTTAGTGGTGAGGGCTCCTTAAAAGCACATGGCCAGTTTCAGCCTTTTATTTTTTGTGTATTTGTTTAATTGTTTATTTATTCTTCCATTCACTTATTCATTCTGCTTATTACTACAGTGAAACAATAATATTTTAAAAGACTTTTAGCGTGTTTATTGTTAATACAATTAGCTTATATATCCGCAGCAGTTCTGTTCCCTGATTATTTTTGTGGTCGTAGACAAATGACATAGGGGAATGGCCTAAGAGCTAGAAATTACAAATGTGAGGATTTCCTCAAGGGTCACATTCAGAGAGCCTTTATTTTTTTCCATTAATAACCTACCAGAAAAGCATTATTCAAGGCCAGAGCTCTGCGCTTACGTTAGTGTGCCTACAGTGTCACTACCCTGACAAATTAGTTCATCAAGCAACTCTTTGTGCTACTGGGTAAGGAAAGATATCTGTCAAGACTATTTGTCAATTTTGTACCCTTGTTTATCTCTGTGAGAATGGGAATAATACTGCAGTATTAAACCTTGGTGTTTTGTTTTAGACTAGGATCAAGAGTTACCTGCCTTCCCTCACTTTCTCTCTTTCTGTACAAGCCTGTGTGTGTAACACATAGAGCATACCCTCCCAACGATACTGATGTACTTAGAGATGTATTTACTTCTGTAAGATCCTAATTTTCCGTAAATCCCAGGCATATCAGTTAGTGTATAGTGTAGTCCCAGGCATATGTTAGTGCTAGAAAGCAATGTTGCTGTGTTGTAGCGCAGTTATTAAGGCAGTTTGTTTCCTATCGGCTCCCTCTGGGGTCCCAGCAACTCAGATGCCAGTGGAGGAGCACGGGAGGAGCCCTGTGCCTCAGGAGGAGCCACACTTGCTTAAGATCCCTGGGATAAAAGGGGACTTCTTTTCAGGAAGAAAGCATGGCATCCACTTCCTGCAAAGCCGGTCAGGGACACAGAAATCAGTGAAGAATCCATTATCCTTTCTCTGTTGTCAATGGTTCTCCTGTCATTACATGCGACCTGAAAAAATTAAACTTCTGGCCACTGTCATGTGCATTCAGTTTGGGAGGCTTCACAAAACTGAGCCATGAAAGGTCACACAGCTTTAAAAGCCAGAAGAACACGTCTGGTTTTGCTCAGCACCTAGCATCAATGAAGTCTGAGTATGCAACGGGGGCTCCCACGCAGTGGCACAATATAAAAATAATTAGGAGTAATAAATAACAAACTGTGGGTCAGAAGTGTAAGATCCTGTCAACCTCACTTGCGTGTCTGACCTCTGCCAGACAGGTTCTCTTTCTTAGGCTTTCAGGGGTCCTTCTTTCTCTCCACTGTCCATGTAAGACAGTTGAGGACTTAGTGTTTGCGTGCGAAAGCCCGGCAAGGGTGAGTGAACAGCACACAAGTGCTCTTCCCTTCCAATACTGGAGATTATTAGCACCAGCTAAGTCCTTCCAGTGACAGCACAGCAGAGGTGCTGCAGTATATGGCCTGGATCCCATTGCATAAGACTATGAGACAGTTCATTAGTATTTCAAGCCAATGCGGCAAAGAGGTGTCTTCCTTCACGAAGGCAGCAGCTTTGGAAATGGTGAAGGGAACCATTCCCTTCACCAGGGAATGCGGCAGGGTGGAGGGCGAGTTACCCTCAAGGGCAGGCAGAGGTGAGCGTAAGGGTGTTTTCTTGAACCAGAGGCCAGCATATGCAGGAAGACTAGTCTTCAGATCAGCTATGAAGGCAGACTGGAGAGTTGAGTGTGTGCTTCCTAGCTGTAAAGATGACTGCTGGAGCCAGGGCTGCAGGGGAGCTCAACCTTTGTAATGGGTGGTACAAAGGAGAACATACAAAAGATAGCATTATTCAGGAAAAAGAGACTTAAAAGAGTATCAAGAGGCAGACCCATTGCAGGAATGAGTAATGAAAGCCCAGTGAGGTAACTCAGTAATAATAACATACTATGTTGTTTAAAAACGAGGTTAAGAAGAAGGCACTTGCTGATTTGGCTAAAGGTTGTTGTGCTGTGACCTTCTTCAGTGCAGTTACAGCACGGGGTAGATTGAGGTTGGTTGAACAGTGTCCAGAGCTTTAACAGTGAGGAAGCCAGTGGATCTACAGAGATTAGAGAGTAGCTGGAGAGGCAAGAGGGACTGAATGAGAATTTGCAGAGCAGAGTAAAGCCATTTTTTACGGAAAAAAAAGGCAAAGGAATTAGAGAAGAAACAGACTGTGAATTATTTGGAAGAAAGAAAATTAATGTCGAGAGGAGATCATGAAGAAAAAGCAAAGGATGTGGATAACAGAATAATTGTTTCACCATATTCCTTTCTCTTTTCAAGACCCACTACCAGCTTGCACATTCCAGACAGCACCTTATCACAGTGCATGTTTATTCCGTTATAGACACCGCACAGTAGAAATATACCATGAAACTATCTCTACTTTTGGGAGGAAAAGGGATATTTTAAAGGACTGAGCATTAGTTAGAGCTACATTAAACTTAACAACAT